AAAATGCGTTTTCAATTTTTGCCATGCCATTAAAAGGCACGTCGGTTAGCTAATTTCCTTTCTCTGTAAAAACCTCTTTTGCTTGAGAATTATTTATTTTTTGCTCTCTAGAAAGTGAGATGCATTTTTTATTTTGTCGCGCCATTAATGGCAGGCCACTTTCTTCTGCAACAACCTCCATCTCTGAAACTTGTGAGAACATGAGAGCAGCCAATTATGGTGGTCATGCTCAGAACCCTTCATCTTATCCTTCAAAAGATTACTACTTCTTCTTTACTTAGAAGTTTCTCTCTCTTCTTCTTCTTCTTACCCACCTTCTCTCTAGCTACTCTCTTGCTCTTACTCTCGGCCTGCAATGGGGTCACTATCTTTTGCCTCCATCTCCCTTTTCCGGCAAAGCCCACATTGGAAAACGCCCATTTCTCACCAGAAAACACAATCAGGGGTCCAAGAACAATTTCAGTCATGTATGCTCTCAAGGAAGAAGAAAATCATCTCTCTAAAGAGCTTGAAACCCATCAGAGCTTCAAGCTTTTGACACAAAAAGAGGACAATGAGAACTCTTTAGTTCTCTCATTAAACACCATTGTAGATGGCAGGATCAGGTGGCTCAAAAAGAATCGGTCCTAGTTCAGGATTCTCAAGTCCGGGCCTGTGTTGACCAAAGGTTATAGGGTAATGGCAATTGCCCCTGATTTCGACTACCTCTTTCGAAATACTGATGCATAGGCCTAGTTTAACAGCTCAAGAAGGGAAATGTGGATCCAGGTGAAGTCTCTTTGGGCCAAAACCTCTCTAATTTGTTGAGGCTTGCTGTTTTGTATAAATTTAGGGGGTTTACATTGACTCTGATGTTATAGTGATGAAAAGCTTTATTGATTTGAGAAATACAATTGGGGCACAAACCATTGACTTGTAGACTGGGAAATGTCGTGATGGCTCTCAAAGAGCTTGGTGTCTCAGATTCCAGTGGCATTTCCTGGAGCCCATCATTGCCTCTTATCATTTTTGGTGAGAGAGGAATTTGGACAATGAGAGAGAGGCGGGTAGAGGGAGAAGGAGTTTGGGTAAAGAGAGAAAGAGAGTGTGGATAGAGAGAGAGAGAGAGAGAGAGAGAGAGAGAAGGAGTTAGTAAACTTAAGAGAAGGTAGAAAGAAATAAAGTGTAGAGTGGTGTACTATTTTTAGTTTTGTTTAGGTAATAAAAATTCTATTGTTACAAGTAG